AGAGCTCAAGTGACCTCCCCAGTAGTGGTGCTGGTGTGGGCAAGCGCAGTTTTGCTTCGGCTTGGTGGCTCCCTTCCGTCAGGAGTGGCATTCGCTTGCGACCGCGGCTGGAGGGATAGCTTCGCAGTTTCGGCGAAAAGTCCAACCAGTTTCATAAGAGAGCTGTGTTATTTGGCGATCATTGCTCGGACAGAGATGCCAATCAGCTTTGTCGACGGCCTGTCGTCAGGTCGATCATGTTGACGGCTTCCTACAACAGCGTTGCTTGCAGACCATGCCAAAAAGCGTCGTGCCCTAAGCCAAGACACAAGTAACCCCACGGGGTTTTCACTGCTTGGCTGAATTGCTTGTTTATTCTCCTTGGAGACAAGTGTCAAGCAACAATTATTGCATCTAGCTGTTGCAACAATCTCAGCTCTGTCACAGTTTGCTTGTTCATGGGTGCAATTAGGACACACCCAGTGTTGTAGCCCAACAATAGTTCGTTTGCAAACAGCAGGAAGCGCCTTTTTGAGAAAGGGCCATGCAGCACGGAATTTGCCCTGATTAGATATTATATTTCAAATTTCCCTAGGAAATTGACTGATGAACTAAGTGTGCTGAATTCTGTGATGTCATTCGACACCCCCTTGGCCGACAGTGTTCTTCTAGAAAGACTGCAGCGGTTCGACGCTGTGACTTTGCAGGTCCGATAGTCGTGTCTCTTTCAAGTGTTGCCTTTAGATTTTGTATTTTTGGCTGCTCCAGGAGGGTTGTCGGTTGTCAGTCGGTTGTCATTCTAAACTAAACCCTAAACCCTAAGCCATGAGAGCTGCTTTGACCGGGCACGAGGCCGACTCCCTCTCTGTTGCAGTGAATCGATGCAGACATGGGAGCCAAGGGTGAAAAATGGGCGGGAGAGATCAGGATTAGGGAAGTTCGGTTTAGGGTTTAGGGTTTAGGGTTTTCTACTCGGAAGCAGCAAGGATTTCTTGCAATTGGGCGTTTCGGCCAGGACACGAAAGCCCGGGGAAGGGAGCCTGCGAAACTTGGAGTCAGGGCGCATCAGCGAATCCATTCGGAATTGTGAGCTTAGGTCCAAGAGCGCAAAGCAGCTACTACGCTCTTTCTGTGCATAGAGCCATCGAATGCACTCCTTTTAGGCAAAGATCCCATAGACATCCATGGTCTCAGAGATTGAAGAAGGACGAACAAACGTATCTGCAGCTGGATTCGGCACGGTCTTTGACCTGCAGTCCTTTCTAAAAGCTCGCTACGCCATGCAATCGCTCCCTGTTCGCCTATATGGAGTTCACCAGGGCGAGCTTGCAGCTGTTTTGTTGCAAGACGACTCCTTGGGAACTCGCTGAGCTCGGTCACGGATGGAGCCTGGAAAGACCTTTCGGCTGCGCTGGGTTCGATGGGTTCTGTGGGTGTTTGTTGCTCTGGTTATGTTGGCTTGCTTAGGCAGAACCTATCTCACGTACAGCCGACAGTGGCGCCATGTGGCAGTGGTCCGAGGAGAAATGAAGCGCTTGGCCCCTCCTGTCGTTGATTTGGCAGGGGAGCGGGGTACCACCACCACCACCACCACCACGACCACGACCACGACCACGACCACCACGACCACCACGACCACCACGACCACCACGACCACCACGACCACCACGACCACCACCACGACCACCACGACCACCACGACCATCACGACCATCACGACCACCACGACCACCACGACCACCACCAGCACCACCAGCACCACCAGCACCACCAGCACCACCAGCACCACCACCACCACCACCACCACGACTGTATCCGAACCAGCGCTCTCGAACGACATGCCTGAGTTGTTTTTCTTGGCTGATCAGCAAAGTCTGCCTCGCAGAAAAACGAAGTGCCCACCAGAAGTGCGAGTGAGTGAGTGGAACGGGAGAATTGGCAACCACTACTTCCAGGTGAGTCAGGCCATTGTAGCAGCCCTTTTCTGTCACATTACACGGGTGAGATTTCCACCCCATATACCCAGAAACTACCAGGAGCAGGATGGTCTCTTGGACATGCCTCAAGAGCTTACATTGCCTGGAGTGGATGGCCATGAAGAGTTGACAATTCCAAACAGCTGTCCCACACAGATGAGTCACAAGTGGTACCACCAGCATTGCCAGATGGTACCGGCATGGCACCACCGGCAGGTGATGCAAAAGTTTCTGCGGCCATACTTGGGCCAGACTCTTGCAGACCTTGCAAATGTTGCACAGGAATCTGCATCTGACGATGTTCTAACAATCCATTTGCGTGCCGATGATATTGGACGGTATCCCGGGTATGAGTGGGGCCAGCCGCCCTGCAGCATGTATCAGAAAATTGTCTCCGACCACGGTTACCAGACCTTGATGATCGTAGCGAAGGTCGTAGCGAAGGGCAAGCGTGCTGCTTGTGACAGCTGGCTGGTGGATTATGGACGTGTGCATGGCATCAACGTCAGCCGGCCGAGGGATTCCACAGTGGCTGGTGCACCTTGGCCAGACTGATCCTCACCCTTTCAGCAAAGCCCTAAATCGAGATCCTAGTGCTGCATGTGGACACGCACCGTCCCAACGAGTTCCGGCAGCAGTATCCTCGTTCGGTTGAGACTTGCGTAGTGAAAACCCAGGATTTGGCAACATTGATTCGTGCGAAGAAGCTTGGCAGCGGCAAGTGGGGAAGGTTCGTCCTTGAAGTCTAGTCGTATGTTTGCACCGGCCAGACTGCGATTAAAGACACGTAGACATAGCACAGACATAATTCGTCACACACACACATATATATATATTCACATACATACATACATACATACATACATGCATATGTAGATACAGAGATACATACTTTCATATATACGCATAAACATATAAACACATTCACATATATTCGCATATACAATGTATGCAATATGTAATATGTGTATATATATATACGTACTTATATACATATGTACATATACACATATGTACATGTATACATGTAAATGTATATACACATAAACTTATACACATATGCACATACATACATAAAACCATTTGTACACATATACATGTATGCATATATGCATGTATGCATATATACATATATACACATACACATATGTATACATGTATGCATATGTGCAAGCATGTATGTGTAATTAAAAAATAAATAGATAAATATATATATATATATGTATACATATATGATATATATATATATATACACACATAGACATATATACACATACACACACACACATATACATATATATATATACACACATATATATATATGTATACACATGCATAGAAACATACATACATGCATTCACATGTCTTTTTTATATCATACACATTTATACGCGCAAACATATGTACATATGTACATATATACATGTATACATATATACATAGCAACATATACACATATGTACTTGTATACATACATATGTGCATGCATGCATACATACACACGTGCATACATACATATAGACATGCATGTGTACGTATGTACAGACGTTTTTGAAGTGCATACATGCATGCATACATACATACATACATGCATAAGCAGAAAACATACAAACAAACATGCACCCGTACATGCTTACACATACATACATACATACATGCATGCATACATACATACATACCTACCTTTGTACGTACATACATGCATACATACATTCATACATACATTCACACATACACACACACATATATATATATATACATATCTTCATATGCCCAGTTCGAAATACGTCGGCGGATTCATCAACAGACTTTGAGGATGACGGGACTCGAAAGTTAGGGTTGAGGCAGAGTTATAAGTTCGACAACCCCATTTAGGGTACTTGTAGATTTATTTAGTAGTTGCTTTTGGGCTCTTGCGATGTCCGGAACAGCATGTCAAGTCTTGGCGACAGCATGCTACAGTATGGGAATACATTCTCCGTTTGCGCGGGGGAGACTACAAATCCTTTTAAGACTTAAGATGAGGTCTTCTTTTCCTACTGTGGCCCAAAGCTCCGAATATATAAATAAATAAATAAATAAATATATATATGTATATGTGTATGTATATTTATAATTTTTTCTCAATAAGCTTTTGCAGTAGAAGCCGCGTAGGAATAAGCCGAACGAATGAGCCAATAAACAAAGTTTGGGGACAGACAGTTATGAAACTCTAGGAATTTGGTGCTGTCCTTCTCAAGCTTCTCGTTGGCAAGCGCGCTGCTCAGCAAGGACCTGCAGGCTGGCATAGCATCATTTGCCTTGGTGGCGGAAGTGGGCATTCGCATTGGAGCGATTGGGACCGTTCTTCTTCGTATTAGTGTGCCGAGTGCCGGCTCCCGTGTCCTCTCTGCGATTGCAAGCAGGTGATGTACCGGCGGCGTGACGCGAAATGGTACAGCATCTTGCATGCCATCGTGAACTGCGATGCCCCTCGGATGCAGGAGGCCAGGACCTGGTCATGGGGCCACAGCTGCAGACGGCAACATGTTGTGCATCTCAGGTCTGGACGGGCGTTACCCTGTACGAGTACAACACTAGCCTGCAAGAAGAGCGGAAAGGTTCGCCGGCAGAGTGGCTGAGAACCTTCCCCTTGGAGCAAATCACAGGGCCTTTCACCTGTCAACACGGCAGTGAGATTCAGCCAGAGATCTAGGCTGAAGCAGCCGCTCTGTTACTGCACGAAGAGTGTCATGTGAAGACTGCGTGGGAAGCCGGGAGCTTTCAGCAGCTTCTGGAACTTTGGGTGTTGCTCTAGAGTAGCAAGTTCAAAGATGAGGTGCCGGGAATGTCGCGTGCTTGTATATAGTCTTGAGCCGCCCTCAGAAGCAGTGGCGACTTGTTCGATCCAGCCGAAAGGGAGGGTTGGACTCTTTGCAGCCCTCGTCGTTTCTTGGTTTCATGCTTTCTGAAGTTAGTGCAGCTAAACCCTAAACCCTAAACCCAGCGTTTTCTGGATACGGCTTTCTCGGTGAGTCATTATCTTGAGGCCGCTTTTAGGGGCACATGGGGCCAGGTCTGCCACTTGCTTCAAATGGGCAGTCACCCGCAGTCACCCGTAGTAGGGTTTAGGGTTTAGGGTTTAGGGTTTAGGGTCACCTTCCTGGAAATATACAAGCGCCTGAGAAGCGGAAGACCCCTCAATTTGAGCCAGAAACTGTCGGGGTGCATGGGTTTGCCGTTGAGCGTCGTGATTAGGGATGTGGAGGGTTGTGACGGCCCAAGTTGGTGAGCTCTGACGTAGTCTCGGGACTTGGAGCAGTACATGAAGCATCGACAGCATAGAACCCCAGCGTGGCAAGATGGAAGACGAGAGTTGGCATCTTTGTTGTGCACTCTGCGGACTCTGCCTCAGACCTTGGGTCAGGCTGCAGAAAGCTCGGAGACTCATCTCGATCGCGTGTTGATGGTGAGACGAAGTTGTTTGGGTGCTCGGAGCGCCTTTTTCCTGCGTAGAGGTCTTTATGAGTGGTGGCGCTGCTGCGGGGCCTCCAAGTTCAGCCGCTTTCCGCTGGATCGGGTCTTTGTGCCCCTTTCCGATGAAAAAAAGCATCCTGAGCCTTGACACCCCGTCATCCGGGACCTTGTCGGCCTTGGGTTGACCTACTTGGAGGTCGAGAGTCAGAAAAAATATCCATCTGTATGGATCTGGCACAAACGCCTATGGTGATAGCCTAAGTCCTAGACCGGTCAAAGCCTACACCGGTCAAAGCCTGAGTCTTCAGGAGTTGCAACGAAGGTTACAAGAGCTTGTGAGTCTTGGTTTCTCAAGCCGGGCCGAGGAAAAGCCAGGATGCAACCAGGAAGGCATGTTCTTCTCGAGTTTCCGGCGGAGGTCTTGCAAAGCGGTTACGGCTACGTTCCCGATTCCAGCCGGTCTTTGTGGGCTCCAGCGGCTTATGCCTTGCGCGACGAAGGGCACCCACAAGATCGGTGTGGACTGTTTGTCGATTTGCACAAGCATTGGCTCAAAGCATTACAGGTCTCCGCTTGACAACATGTGCATGATTTGTAAGATCATGAATGTGAGATGGAATATGCACTTCTTCAGTAGCTGCTGTAACAAGATGCCCACAAGAAAACACTAGGTTTCAGACCTGCATGACCTGCGCTAACGTCTGTGTGTGTGTGTGTGTGTGCACAAGAGACAGCGATACGGCAATGTCGTGGTGGCAAGCAGCCCTTGTGGTGGCGCTGCTGACGCCGTGTGCGTGCAGTTCAGAAGCGCCGTCGAATTTGGTGGTTGTCGGAGGGTTTCCGACATGTGGCATATCCTACATCTATGGCATTCTAGAATCTCATCCCAACATCGTCACCTTTTCAATTCAGATAGGTGCGCTGCCCAATCTGCAGACGGAGTTTGAGGAGTCAGTCTTCGCCCTGGCAAGAGCGCTGCAAGTCCCCACTGGCCGTCCCTTGCAAGAAGTTTGCCACGCGGAGTTCAAATCTCAAGCACCGACCTTCCGAGAGTGCAATCGTCTCGTGAACACGATCAGGGGCTGGTACAACATGTCCGTGCCTGCGACACTGGTCGTCTCGGACGAGTCCTTCTTTGAGAAGCAGGTGGGTCGATTCTCAAAAACAGAAATATACGCTTCCAAGGCGCCATAAGCCAAACACCATCCAACAACCCAAACCCTACAGCCCCAAAGCCACATCTCCTAACCCCTAAACCCTAGACCCTCAATCCTAACAGATGCTTGCATCCCGCTGGCCGGGCAAAGTCAAGCTGCTCTTGTCGGTGCGAGATCCCGCGGACTTCCTATGGACAGCTTACAACTTCTGGACCCTTGCTTCATGGTGTAGGGTTTATAGGGTTCATGCTTTTTTTAATGGCTTGTTGGGTTTAGAGCCTCTTGTTTAAGGTTCCGGTACTTCACTTGTTTAGGATCCCGGGTGCGAGTGGGAGTTGTTCTTAGTGGCAGCTTGCAGCTTCTGGACACCGTTCTCCCGAGGATTTTGTGCGTGTGTGTGTGTCTGTGGGAATGATGGGGGTTGGTTTGAGCCCGAAGCCCCAAACCCACATGCCAAACCCGATACTTCAACAGATTTGGCTTGCAGGAAATCTATCTCGCATAACGTCCCAAAAAACACTCTCCTACTTGTTAAGGCCCTTGCGTGAGAAGCTTCCCTCTAACTTGGAGACTTCGCTTTGCAACCCAGGGCGCTGCCAGGGGAGCCGAAAGCCAACAACCAGGGTACCAGGACGGTGATGAACCTTGGAAACCGAAGGAGTTTCTAATGAGTTTCTATTGGAACGGGGGGGGGCGGGTGGCATTGCTTGCTGCTGGTCCCTGTGCAGTTGTGCTATGATCATTTACAAAGTCCTTATTCTACCGATGACGACCCAAAGAATGGCCCTTATAGTGTGGCCTGGAAACCCTAAAACGTAAACCCTAAACCCTAAACCCTAAACACCCCCTTGCAAACTCCGAATCGGAGATTGTGGCGGGTTTGCAAGTTGAGGACTCGGGGCTCGGGCATATTTGGGGTCCGGACTTAGCCTCAGAACAGAATTGACAAAAGTCCTTTTGGAGCCAAAGGTGCCGTTGGAAGCCTTGTGTAGCTTGAAATTGCCGGAGAATGTCGGAGAGATCTGAGGAAAACTCACGTCCGCAGCCCGGAGCTTTTCGACGAGTTAGTGTTGGCGGACGGCAAGAAAGAGGCCTGGGCACCCCGGGCCAACAAGATCACCGGGCAGTGGTTCGACCAGATCAAGAATGTGAAGGATGTCTCCGCGAACCTCCTCTTCTTGAAGTCTGAGGACCAGTCATGTGTTGTTCACACGACTATCCGCGCCTTGCTGTGCTTTGTGAGGCGATGAGTTTTTGGATTCATGTCGAATGTTGGACACATGTCTCTAGACAAGGTTTATCTACCACAAAACAGGAGAGTCTTGAAAGCGACCCGTTTGGTTGGTGTTCTTGTGCAACAAGACGTTGCATCCGCACGGGACGTGAGAGTTTCGCTTCATTCCTCTGTGTGCTATTATACCGTTGTTTTAGTCAGCGCACCTCAATGTTGCAAAGCTTAGCCCTATTCCGAGACGACCGAAATAGGGTTCAGGAAGCTGGAAGACCTCGTATAAGTATCTCAAGAACCAGCAATGCGCCTCTAAACCCTGCAACACCTGTTTGAGCCCCCTACGAGGCCCCTGGGATCGTAGAAACAAAGGTCGTGCTTCACATTATCATGTACTACAATGTACTATAACATACTATAACATAGAAAAATACACTATGATATGTTACAATAATAGGGCATCTCTTTGGGAAAGGTTCATGGTTTGGGGCTTTGGTTTGCGAACTCGGTAACCCTATGTACTATAAACTCCCTGAAGTCCTTGAAGAACTGGTTGTGTCGCTCGAACACAGCTAATGTAAATTTAGGTAAGTCGCTCAACACCCCGGTCCCACATAGTAACCAAACTCTAATTGCCCCGAACACTTGCAATCGTACAGCACATCCTCAACCCTCAGGCCCTAAACCCTAAACCCTAAACCCTCAGGCCCTAAACCCTCAACACAAGCTCTAACCCTGAGCCCTATGTCTCGAAGGATTTCACGGAGAATTTGAGCGCGAGCTTCGCGAGGATGGGTTCATTCTTTGGAGTGAACGCGTCGCTGTTTTCCTACAAGGCACATCATGTTTAGGGTGCCTTTTTTTGGTTGTTTCGGCATGTTTCGGCTTGGGGGTTTCGGGCCCTACGCTTTAGGAGTACAAGTTTAGCCTGCAGATGCCCGCAGCAAGGCTCCGGATGCCGCACCACGTGTCGCAGTGTTAAGCGGGAAATTTCGAAGGTTTTTGTGGGTTAGGGTCTCGCGATTGCTTGCCAACGCTGTAAGGATGCTGCAGAGCATGGACCCAGAAACGCCGGCTACCAAAAAGTCAGCCGACATGTGATGTGCTCAGCGGATGAGACTTGCCATACCCTATCCACTATACTACCCGAAAGTCTGCCCCTGGAGTCAGGGTAAGCTATATGCACGTTTCGAGGCAATTCGGTGCAGTAAGGGTTCAGTGGTCGGGGGTGAAGCGAGGCGGTCTAGGGTTCCCGGATTTCGGATGTAGAGACCAACGTACCTACATCCGGAGGCCCATCCGAAAGCGTTACCTGTTTGGTAAGGAGGTCATCATATTTAATGTGGTTATCTTACTTGGAAACCCAGCGCGTCAACTACGTCTTATAGACCTCCAAGTAGATGTTCAAACCCTGTTTCGCAGAGCCACAAAACCCAAAAAATCACTCAACCTTCAGGCAACGACCTCGGTTTACAAAACGTCTACCTCTAGACTCTAGAGCTTTAAGGAGCCCTTGAAGCGAGCCTTGTCTTAACAACCCGTAACACCTGAAAGTCCGATAAACCCGAACCCCGAAAATCAATAAAATGCCCAATGGACTTCAAGAATGAAGAGGGATCCTGAATACGACTTACATCATGATCCTCGACTAAGGGCTTTGGAGAAGACCCACATACCGATAAAGCTTTGAAGGGTTTCATGAGGACCTTAATCGCGGTTTATCATACTCATACTCTGCCTACTCAAACCTTAAACCTAAAACCCTAAACCCTGAACCTTGAAACCCTAAACTTACCAAAATGTTCTATGTCCCCTGATCCTCCAACCCTAGGCCCTAAACCCGACGCCCCTTGTTTCGGAGGTGGCCCAAAGCCGTAGTATCGGTCTGCACCTCGTCTCTTGGGGGTTCTGGTTTTGGTTTCAAGTTTCGGGATCATAACTTAGGGCTTTAGGGCTTTTGGGTATATTCTTTTCGGACTTTCTTCTCGGATTTTACTAAATATAGGGTTTTACGCTTCATTTTTTTGGTTTGGGGGAGGCTTTGATGGTATGTTTTAAGACTTCGGGGATTCGGGTTATTGAATGTTTGTCGGAAAGAGTGCGCGCGCGCGTGTGTGTGTTTGTTTTGTGCGTGTGTGTGGGGTGTGGCAGCCCTGCAGTCTGAACAATCATATGAGGGAGACCGATTGGAGGGGTTTGGATAACCTGGTATTATATAATACCATCCGGTCCTGTAGTCCTTGTACACCTTTATGATAATGTACGGGAAATCCTGGTTTAGTTAGTTATGTCCGTATATGAAAGTCCTTGACTGGGTTCTTCGATTTTATGGTTTTCTGGTTGTAGCATTTTTTTGTCTCAAGCACCCCGAAAACAGTCTTCTGTTGAGCAACCAGGCAGACCAGATATGAAATTTCCGGGTGGAGGCCCATGCTGTGCAGCACCAGGTGGCTCCCGGGAATCGGAAACAAGCTTTGTAGTTATTCTGTGCGTGTGGGGGCGGCCCTTGCTGTCTCATGCTGCCAGGCACTTCATTTACTCAAAGTCGCGGGATGTTTGCCAAGAGTTGGATTCCTTCGGGGTTCACTACAGCGCCTGCCTGGGAGAGCATGACGAATGCGTGGACCCCGTGCCTGGATCATACACGACGCCTATTCCCAGGCCGTCCTTGGCATCATTGCAGGCGCACACCTGATTTCAACTAACCATGCCGGATCCCCATAAATGCCATGCAACATGCCTGCATGCCCCAAACACTCTTTTGCAAGTGGAAACAAGGCATCTCCCCAACAAAAAGTGTAACGAGACCTCTAGCTCGCGACTGTCCCAGGAGCCTGCGCCATCGAATCTGGTGGTTGTCGGAGGATTTCGGACCTGTGGCACAAAACGGATCTACAGCCTTCTGGAGTCGCATCCCAACATTGTCACCTTTTCAATTCAGATAGGTGCGCTGCCCAATCTGCAGACGGAGTTTGAGGAGTCAGTCTTCGCCCTGGCGAAAGCCCTCCAAGTGCCTACGGGTCGTCCCCTGATCCGGGTCTGCGACGAGTTTGAACTCAAAGTGCCGACCTTCAAAGAGTGCGGTCGCCTGGTGAAGAAGATCAAGGGCTCGTACAACACGTCCATGCCGGCGACACTGGTCGTCACAGACCCCTCCTTCTTTGACAAGGGAGTGGCTTGTTCCGGAACAGAAGCTTCAGTAGGTGCAAGCTTTCGTTACCTGGACCCGAAACCAGCCGAAACCCAAAACGACATCCCTGACAGATGCTTGCATCACGCTGGCCGGGCAAAGTCAAGCTGCTCTTGATGGTGCGCTAGCCAGCAGACTTCTTATGGGCAGCGTACAACATCTGGACGCTGGCCTGTGGAATATTTCGTTGTTTGGTACTTTCTTTTGCGAGTCTGGGTTCTAATCGGACTCCCTCGACCCTACAACCAAAGTCTCAACAGTTTGCCTTGCCACCAAGGGCACTCCCGGGAGAGCCGAAAGGGCAAGAGGGCAGGACGGAGAACCTTGGACCCACCCTTGCCGGGGTACTAATGGTTATTAGCTTCGGGCTCTACGTGGGGGTTAGGGTTCAGAAGGCCAGTCCCACCGTTCCGGGCTAGGGCGGCGTCAAGGCTGCGGGCTCAAGGCTTCTGGCTTCCGGATTCCGCCACTTCAGGAAGATTCACGTCCGCAGCCCGGAGCTGTTCGACGAGTTAGTGTTGGCGGACGGCAAGAAAGAGGCCTGGGCACCCCGGGCCAACAAGATCACCGGGCAGTGGTTCGACCAGATCAAGAATCTGAAGGATGTCTCCGCGAACCTCATGTTCTTGAAGTCAGAGGACGGCTCGATACCGTATTCCGAAAGCTAAGCTCTGAACCCTAAATGCCCGAAGCCGTTGGGCCCTTAGTTGAGAAGAACATGTGCATACCCAGCAGTCATCCTGGATTCCAACACCTTCAATAACAGCTATCTTGAACCCGGGAGAATTTAGCCATGGTTCCCACGGTAGCCTTGTGATGGTTCGGATATTACGGACATATTGCCCTATAGAGTGCCCCGGAAAGGATCTTGCGATCAACTTGGCCGCAACCTTGGCGAAGATGGGCACGTTCATTGGAGTACAGGCGACGCTGTTTCCCCACGAGGCGACAGAGCCAGCGTCTTCAGAAATCGGTTGGTGTTTGAGGTCTTCTTGACGACTGGGGTTTGTGGCCGTGTGGTTCAAGGTTCTAGGGCTTTGGCATTTCTGGATTTCTTTTGACACAGAGGCTGGTGTTTCGGGAGATATTGGTTTCAACCCCACTACGAGGTTAGCAAATTAGAGAGCTTCACATGACATGACATTCGCAGCATCACAGGCTATGCTTCAGGGTTGCAGGCTTCGCTCACTTTGAGCGTCCTGAACCTTTCTCGGGCAGCTCAGAGATGCTCAGAGGACTGATTGCTGAAGAACGTGTGGTGCAGGCTCTTCATGCGATAGGCACACTGACGCCCTGTAGAAGCTGTGTTGACACCCAGAGCCCGGCACTTTCAGGTGACGGACGGCTACACCAACTCACTCGCTGCGCGTGTCGCGCGGACACCTGTGCTGCTCATCGGAGAGTTGTGCGGCTGGATAAGGTTGAGGTCTGGGGATGCGTTGAATCTAGGGGCTCAGGTGAGCCGCGGTTGTTTTGTACGCTTCTTTGATTCCAAGTAAACGCGGAAATATCAATCGTTGTCGCCGAAAAAAATTGCACGGGACTGTGTGCGCGGAAGCATGCGGAAGCTTTGCGGAAGCAATCGCTCCGCGGAAGGTTCCGCGGAAGCTCCGTCTTAAGACATGTCATGCCGCAGATATCCTGCGTTTGGCCTTGAATGTACATAATTAACTCAACAAACTGCAAACCCTAAACCCAAAGTCATCTCAAAAGCCTAGATCCACAAGCCCCCAAGCCGAAGTCCCCACATCGCCAGCAAGAACTTGTGTATGACCATACACCTGCATCTTAATGGCTGTATCTGTGCTCTTCGATGCATACTGGGCGAAGATATTGCCTTATATTCTGAGAGATGCCAGCAAGATTTAGAGTCACCCATCCTTGTCCGAAGCATGTTCCTTGTCAACACCACCACCAGGCTTCTTGTTATCAGGTTCTTGTGATGTCCATTTGCGTGTTCACGAGTAAAGTCATGTGGCGAAAAGGAATAGCACTTCAACATTATCATGGTCATGATGATTGCCACCGCCTCTAAAATTACAGGATGATACAGGACGTGCGCGGAAGCTCCGCGGAAGGTAGACCCCTGGAAGTTGATCCCAAGCCCAGTCATACCAAAGTTGCAGTCATCGCGATGGTTTCGTTCCGGCGAAACCGGCACTTCTGCACGCCTTAAACCCAACTACGGATTGGAAGCCCGACGAAATTCAATACCCCCCAAGAGCTTAAACGGATTTTGGATTGAAAACCGACAGCCACTGAAATTCCCTACCTTAATGCCTTAAACCCGAGTATGGATTGGAAACCTGCTGAAATTCCCTACCCCACAAGGATTAAAAAGCCGAAGAAGCCGAAAGCCACCTATAAGCCTCTTCAGATTTGCTTCTGTCTTCGCGTGCTTCATGTAAGCTTGCATCCTTTGTTGGTGGCTGAAGCAAAGTTGAAGCTACACGATAGGTTTGCCTAAACAAGCAGCCTCCTCAAGACTCCAGCCCGCACTTGCGGAAGCAAGCCTTGCAAACTCTGCGAAACAACCATTGCGGAAGGGATCCCGGGAAGCGACATGAAAGTTGAGGCGCGCGGAAGCAAAACCCTCGCGCGCGGAAGCATGCGGAAGGGTCCTGCGGAAGGATTTCGTTATTTCCATTTTCCCAAACATGGTGTTGAGTTTTGAGTCTTTCGTCCTTTACATGACTGTGTCGTTCGTCGACGGTTGTGGCATGTTGAGGTCGACGGGAGTAGAGATCCTATCACAGAGCATGTCCAGCCAGGATCACTTTGCCGCCCATGTCAAACCAAGATGACCGTAGGTTTCGGCCTTCTTTGCTGGTTTGTGGTTTTTTGGTACGCATCCCGCCAAGAAGCTTTATGTTGCTGATGAAGAGAGACGAAGAGATAAGGTATCAGATTTCTGGGTGGAGGCCCATGCTGTGCAGCACCAGGCGGCTCGGCAGAAATCAGATTCAGGGTGTGCTGAGGAGCTTCCTGCGTTGCCAGGCGCTTCATCTACT